TATTGGAGCCTATTTGTCCCTTTACCATAAGTAGTCTCCCACTGTCGTCTGCCTCATGAGAATGATACGTAAAGGGAAGTTTTGCCGATATCAGTATCGCCACCCCTCTAGACTTAGCCTGTGTGTAGTCACTGAAGAAGCCATGGGGGTACCTATTGTCCCTGAGGGAGGGGGCGTTATGTTTCCTAAAGTGGGTTTCCTGCAGGAAGGCCACATCGGCTCTGAGCCGATGTAGCTCCATCAGGGTTTGTGTGCGCTTCTCCGGTATATTTAGTCCTCTTACATTGATCGTACATATCCGTATCTGCTGTGCAGGTGTGGCAGTCGCTGGTGTCTGTGCCATTGCTTTCAGTGGTCGTATAGTAGTCAGCGGTAACTATGTCGTGTAACAATTTCAGTAATATATAACAACAAATGTGAGTATGAAATAGAGAGAAAAGCAAAAAGAACAATAACTATATACAGTTGCGATAATAACGTACTAGGTTTGGTAGTATTAAGTCAGTCGACGGTGTCTGACCCAGTCTAGGGGGGCCTATCTAGATGGGGTCCTTTTTGGCACCGCACAGTCAGTGGTTACTTGACTGTTGTCAGATGTTGGTCTGATACTTCTGGGGCATGTATAGCCGTCTCTCAAATAGGCTATTTACCCGTCCGGTGGGGATGGACAGATGGGGGGGGGGGTTTCAGTCGCTAAGGTTCCGAGTCCGGGAAAGGCCTCATCCACTCTATATTTGTTTTTGTCGCTAGTGGGCTTACGTATGCAAGGTAATATACATAATCAGTATCTGGGACAGTGTCAGTAGCACCAGAAGTAGGCATTTAGCTGCTTAAACATATCAACAGTCATATAACAGAAAATTCACATAAGTCATTAACATTCCCCAGGAGATTTTTATCTCTCAGTGTCTCTTTACTCCCTATGTGGCTAGCTCGTGCGAGCATGATGGAGAGTTTTGAGATTCACAGGTAGCAGTAAGGTGGGGTATACATATGACCTTTCTATTAGAAAGTGAATAAAAGTAAAAGTATAAGTATCTAGCCCAGAGCGTCTAATCGGTCAGGTGGCGTCGGGGACACGGGCACCCAGCCGGATGGCCGCCTCCCCAAGACCCCATCATTCCTACAGAGATGTAATTCACGTGGCCATATGGGTGTTGCTGTTACTATGGCCCCTGGGCTTTAGCTAATGTCATCAGTGCATATGCATATTGAAAATACTTGCGGTTGTCGAACCTTACTATTTGAGAGATGGAATATAAGTATCCAGCCCAGAGCGTATAACCGGTCAGGCGGCGTCGGGGACACGGGCACCCAGCTGGGTGGCCGCCTCCCCAAGACCCCATCATTCCTACAGAGCTGTCATTCATGTGGCCATATGGGTGTTGTAGTTACTATGGCCTCTGGGCTTTAGCTAGTGTCATCAGTGCATATACATATTAAAAATACTTGCGGTTGTAGACTGAGTTCGGTAGCGTTAGGGGCGCGGATCCCCGTAGGGAAAGAGGGGAGCCGCCCTCCCAAGGCCCCGCTACCCGTAGTAGTCCAATTGCTCACTGGGGTGAGGAGCGTGAGGAGTATTTGCAGCAAAAATGCTAGCGGTCTTCTGAAGTTACTGTTTGTTCATGTTGTGCGTTTGTTTGGGAGCGTGGAGATCAGTACATATCTGTGTGGGCTCCCCTTGGCGTGGACGCCCTGGAGAGTGCTTGTTCTGGCCTCCGTCTTTTCGGCGTTTGTTGCCATCTCGTGCGTTGTTGTAGTGGTTCCCTCTGCATTGGTTGTGGCAGTCCATACCAGTCGGGTACTCTTGTATCCGGTAAGTCCAGTGCTTGTAAAAAGACGGGGACATCATGAGTGGAGTTGATGGTAAATACTTTGCCTTGGTGGTTAACACTTAGCGCCAGGGGGAACCCCCATCGGTACCTGATGTTGCGTTGGCGTAGGATGTCTGTTATAGGTTTGAGAGTCCGTCTTGCCTGCAGCGTCAGCCAGGATAGGTCAGGGTAGATCGAGATTGGAGCATCTTTATATAGTAGAGGCTGGGAGGCTTGTCTTAGTGCTTTGAGTATGCCATCCTTTTGGGAGTAATAGTGCAGACGGCAGATTACGTCTCTTGGCTTGTCCGCTGGTGCACCTCTGGGGCGCAACGCTCTATGTGCCCTATCAAACATGAGTGGTGTATCGGCTTGTTTTCCCATGAGGAGATTAAATATTTCTTGCAGTACCTCTGTTAGATTTTCTGTGTCCTGTTCAGGTAGCCCTTTTAATCTGAGATTATTTCGTCTACCTCTGTTATCCAAATCATCTAATGAGCGCTGTATATCAAACGCCTGTGCAGAATGTGCTTCCATAACAGATTTCAAGTGTGACACTTGGAGTTGTATTGCATCCCTGTCGTCCTCCAGTGCACTCACTCTATCTTTAGTATGCCTTATATCAGCTCCCACACTTTCCAGTTTAGACTGAAATGCAGCTTCTAGTTTCCCCAGCATATTGGCTATGTCCTGCTTAGATGGTAGATTTTGTAGTATACCTTTCAGGTCTGGGTCTTGTAGTACCAGGGAGCCTGTAGATTCAGCTGGGCTAGAGGGAGGGGATGTAGTGCCTGGCGAGTCCGGCGCCATATTGGGGCCTACCATGCTTTCGTGAGCCTCCTTGGAATCCCTGAAATATTTTGTCAGGGCTCCGGTTTTTGCTGCCACTGACCTCCCTGTCGTTCTCTGGGATGAGGGCGTGCGTTTGGGGTGTCCCATGTTTAAATGATAGCCCGATGTCCGCGGATTGAGTGCCTTTCTCGCCGGAGCTCTGCTACTGTGCTGCCATTCCGGTCGGCAGTTGGCTCCGCCCCCTAGATCCAAATATTTGTGGTTTGAAGTTTTTTTTCTTTTTTGTTTGTAATAAATTGATTTGCAGTGAGCACTCAATTTAATTCCGTTTGGTCAGCAACAACAATGATTCCAATCTGGTCTCGATTTACAAATTTTGTATAAGACTTTCAAATGATTTAATATTATTGGATATATTTTCTGATGCTGAGTCAAACAATTTAAACCTATGACTTTGTTATTACTTACAAACTGAAAATTGGAATAACATATGACCTAGATTAACATCAAAGATTAAATAATCAGAGTTTATAAATGAAAACATTGGCTCATAATATTTCTGAAAACTACAGATTGATTATATAATATGAAAGCAAAATTTTCTCTGTATGTTCATTTTTGAAACCAGAATTTTTACAGCTGGATAATTTTTAGTCATATAATTATACGTTATTAATTTTGTTGTTAACTTATACAATATTTACAGATATAAAACCAATTTTTTAAATATATTTAATTTACACATTTTTCTTTCAGCTGAGTTCTCATATGCTTCAATAATTTGGGCGTTTGGAATCATTTGTCTTGTTCTCTTTCATGTGATCATCTTCATTTGTTGGAGGTAAAGTGTTTAATTCATTTTCTATTTCCTGGTTTTAATGAACACCCCAAGGATCAAATAAAATGCAACTATATTGAACAAGTATAACATTCATTTATGACCTCAATTTAGTAAACTTTCCAAAAAAACATTTCAAATGATTTGTCAGGGAATGTTTTGTCAGCAAAATTATTTGAGTCAGAGAATTTGCTATTTGATCAGCTTTTTTGCTTGCATTTTGCTATTTAGATTTGAATTCACTACTGTTTTGAGTTTAGCGAATAACCCTGGAACATTTTGGAACTCTTGCAGCATTAGGCTAGAAAATAGGTTTACAGGTGGTTTGGTGAATATACAAGGCATGGACATTTTAAGTGAATTGTGAATAAAAAGCAACAATTTTGGGATGCCTCATGCCTTGCAAGGCTATCCACTAAGCTGTCAGGAACTTTCCAGAAAATAAATTTTTTGGGTCAAAATAGTCAAAATAGAATAAAAATGTTAGTAGGGTTTCCAAGTCAGATTTTTTTTTTTTTAATTCCAACGTCTCCTCACTCTTCATTTTAGGATGGGTGTACTTACAACATTTTGAAACCCATGAATGTTGAAAATTAATGCTGCATTTCAGCATATTAATATAGTGCAAATTAGATTTATGACAAAATATTTGTCATAATCGATTTGTCAAGTGGATTCAAGTATGAAGTCAAAAGAGAAATTAAAAATATTACAGTTATTTTACAATTATTCTCTTTCTCATAGGCGGAAAAAGTGTCCGGGAATTACTGACTGCATTAAAAATGAAGGAGAGGTAGGGATAACTACGTTCCAATACATAAACACACAAAAATCTGATTTTAATTCTGCTATGTTATTTTTCCTAGGTTAGTTAAGGTAAAATGCCTCTTTTCACCAATATTCCAATTTTATACGAATCCTCTATTTCATTCTCTAACGTTATGTTTCTTGGCAACTTATGTATGGTCTCCCATCACAGACTAACTGTTACCTAAATTAACTAAATAAATTCTTAAAATAAAAGAAGAATTACAAAATGGCTTACAATAAAAGTATAAAATGAAAACACAGTAAGCAAACAGTATAGGAAAGATGCATCCTGGATAGGAATTTGAGATGTATTAATGGATACATTGCAATACGTGCATTGCAAAAAAACAACTGATTTGAAACTGGTATTAAAACCACAAGTGATAGAATCGAAATAAATATTAAAAAGGAAACTATATGTAAAAATGTAACAAAGTAACTACAACGTTTCAATGTTATCTTCTTTGGAGGCACTACATCTTCCCCCCTTCGTGAAATGGCATAATGGAATTGTTTTGTATTTAAACTGCAGTCGTGGCTTGTAGATGATACTTGATTCAGAGTAAGCATTGAATGGACGTGTATGTGGTTCTATGCTGAGAAAACTAGATACGTTTGTGATTTATTGCTCATATTTACAGTGAAAAGGTAAAGTTTAGGAGGAGGAATAGTCAGGAACCCAGGAGGTAATTACCCTAAATCCACATCACAGTTACCCCATATTCCTGTATGAATTACTCTACATCCACATCTGAACTATGATACCTGGGAGGTAATTACCCCACACTCATATTAGAATTGTGATACCTGGGAGGTAATTACCCCACACTCATATTAGAATTGGGATACCTGGGAGGTAATTACCCCACACTCATATTAGAATTGTGATACCTGGGAGGCAATTACCCCACACTCATATTAGAATTGTGATACCTGGGAGGTAATTACCCCACACTCATATTAGAATTGGGATACCTGGGAGGTAATTACCCCACACTCATATTAGAATTGGGATACCTGGGAGGTAATTACCCCACACTCATATTAGAATTGGGATACCTGGGATGTAATTACCCCACACTCATATTAGAATTGTGATACCTGGGAGGTAATTACCCCACATTCATATTAGAATTGGGATACCTGGGAAGTAATTACCCCACACTCATATTAGAATTGTGATACCTGGGAGGTAATTACCCCACATTCATATTAGAATTGTGATACCTGGGAGGTAATTACCCCACACTCATATTAGAATTGTGATACCTGGGAGGTAATTACCCCACACTCATATTAGAATTGTGATTGCTGGGAGGTAATTACTCTACACTCTTATCAGAATTGTGATACCTGGGATGTAATTACCCCACACTCATATTAGAATTGTGATACCTGGGAGGTAATTACCCCACACTCATATTAGAATTGTGATACCTGGGAGGTAATTACCCCACACTCATATTAGAATTGTGATACCTGGGATGTAATTACCCCACACTCATATTAGAATTGTGATACCTGGGAGGTAATTACCCCACACTCATATTAGAATTGTGATACCTGGGATGTAATTACCCCACACTCATATTAGAATTGTGATACCTGGGAGGTAATTACCCCACACTCATATTAGAATTGTGATTGCTGGGAGGTAATTACTCTACACTCTTATCAGAATTGTGATACCTGGGATGTAATTACCCCACACTCATATTAGAATTGTGATACCTGGGAGGTAATTACCCCACACTCATATTAGAATTGGGATACCTGGGAGGTAATTACCCCACACTCATATTAGAATTGTGATACCTGGGAGGTAATTACCCCACACTCATATTAGAATTGGGATACCTGGGATGTAATTACCCCACACTCATATTAGAATTGTGATACCTGGGAGGTAATTACCCCACACTCATATTAGAATTGTGATACCTGGGATGTAATTACCCCACACTCATATTAGAATTGTGATACCTGGGATGTAATTACCCCACACTCATATTAGAATTGTGATACCTGGGAGGTAATTACCCCACACTCATATTAGAATTGTGATACCTGGGATGTAATTACCCCACACTCATATTAGAATTGTGATTGGGAGGTAATTATACTCTGGGAGGTAATTACCCCACACTCATATTATTATTGTGATTGCTGGGAGGTAATTACTCTACCCTCTTATCAGAATTGTGATACCTGGGAAGTAATTACTCCACACTCATATATGAGTTATGATCCCTGGCAGGTAATTGACACACTTCTTTCCAATGATAGACATATCTGTATCATACAGCAAACTGAAATGTCAGTCATAATTCAGAGTGTGGAGATATATTGATGGAGGGATAGGGCTGTTGAAAAAGTAATAGGAGAAGGAAATGGCAGTGGGAGGCAGACCTTGTACTGATAGTGCTGAAATAATGATTCTCTCTCAGAATAATGCACTTCACACAGATTGGTCATCAGTCAGCTTTAAAAAAAAAAAAAAAGCAGGGTGAAATATTCACAGGAAGTTCTAAAATAGCATCAGAAAAGGTGATACCCAGCAAAATAGGCCACAAGAAAAGCAACTTGATACAAACTTTGTTAAAGTGTCTCTGTCACTTTTTTCCCTTTACACATGTCCCAAATCTCAACCTTTGCAGGCCCTGTTCTTTCTGCTACTTTTCCCTATGTATAACGTCAAGTTTTCTTTGCTATTTGCTTCACGCACCTCCTTCCGGTGTTGCAGCACTAGCACTCTGTGTTGACTATCGTGCAAGCGCGAGAATCAACACAGGTCCATTGTAGGCCTTGAGCATGCGCATGATTTGATGCACTTGCCTAAGGAAGGGCAGAATATGGAATTCTTTGCAAACACCATCATAGGCACACAAAGATGGAGGTGCTGTTAGAGAAGATCTGGCAGTACTGGCAAAATGTTGAAAAAGGTAAGTTGCAGCCGTCCCATTGATTAAAATGATTGTGAGGGGTTTGGGGAGGCTATAGGTAGGCATCCCTTGGCTGGAGGGCCAGAAAGAAATTAGTGACACAGATGCTTTAAATACATATTTTTGTCTTATTGCTTATTCATCATAGTTACATAGTTACATAGCTGAAAAGAGACTTGCGTCCATCAAGTTCAGCCTACCTCACATTTGTTTTTTGCTGTTGATCCAAAAGAAGGCAAAAAAAAACAGTTTGAAGCACAATTTTTGCAACAAGCTAGGAAAAAAAATCCTTCTAGACCCCAGAATGGCAGTCAGATTTATCCCAGGATCAAGCAGTTATTACCCTACATTGAAAGATTATATACTTGAATATTCTGTTTTTGCAAGTATGCATCTAGCAGCCGTTTGCACATCTGTATGGACTCTGATAAAACCACTTCTTCAGGCAGAGAATTCCACATCCTGATTGTTCTTACAGTAAAAAAACCTTTCCTTTTACTGTAAGAACATAAGCATTTTAAAATTAGTATTACTTTTTAAAGAGTCATTCTAAGTACCTTAACCACTGCATCTAGTGGTAATTGTGCTATCAGACTTAGAGCACCATCCTCTGGTTTCAATTAAACCATTTTGTAAAAAAAATGGCCCCTGAGACACTGATGACTCAACCTCCACTAACTGCTAATTTGTTCCACTCCGAATTTGCCAAAACTAAATTCACCAATATTTGGGTACCATTGATTGGCTGAGTAAATTAAGTGATACCCTTAGTATAATAGCACCATAACTTGGTGGAATGGAGTACCCCTTTAAACATATTAAATCCTGACTAATGAAAGCATAATAAAATTTTGTATTAACATTATTTATTCCGTGAAATGTTTATTTTAACATTTTAAGAGATAAACTGATACTTTTTCTGAATGCTTCTAGGCCATCAACCCATGTGATTCCACATACACTAATCTCCAAATAGCAGATGTGAGTCCAGATTACGATAAACTACAGGTGACTCTCCAATTTTTTTCATGTATCAATAAAATAAATATGTATCAATATTTAAACCATTTTGTGATTCCATATACGTTTGTATAATATAATAATAATAATAATAGTAATACACAGTGTTTATTAAATAAACACAGTGTATGGAAAAACCTTGAACCTATAAATCTTAATCTAATGTCTCCTAAAGAGGAAATTCTGCTTGGCGTAGAGTGGCAATTGCTGCAAATATGCATTAGACCTCCAATGCCTCCTCACATTGGGAAAAATTGGATTCACCTGTGGGATGGACTGGCTGAGATAACAGGATTGATAATCTCAGCCAAAGTAGAATGGAGGCCACAAGTACAGGCTGGTGGGGGCTAAAGGTAAGTAAATATTCTTTATGTCTTAGTTTCCAAGAGGAGCTGAATTATGTAGGAGAACACATTAACTGTAGAAACAGAGGTTTGTATTCTTATGATAGTGTTTCTTTAAAACCACGGTGACATAAAAGCATCAATATGAGTTTGTATATTAAATTTGATGCTTGATGATCTTCAGCAAATGTGACTTGGTTGTGCCTACAGCGTCCCAATTAAAGTTAAAGGGACAGTGTAGGCATTATTTCATTTTCATCTCGTTGAATTGGTTGTAGTGCCTGTAGTCCTCTGGCATTGTCCCTCTATACAATGTTAAACCATTTTTGAGAAGGTTTAACACTGCATAGGGGTCCCTGGCCATCCACAGCCCAGCACCCACTGAAGAGATTTACACACTTCCTTCTTGCCATACCAATTTATGAGCACTGTGATAGGATGAAAACAATCAGCTGATATTGTTGGTTGTGTTAATGCTTCCTCATTAATGTAAGTAGCAGGGAGAGAAGGGCTGCTGACTCTCGTTTAGAATTAAAACATTAAAAATGGTCCAATGCTGAATGCAAGGATGGTGCAAGGGAACTCCAGACATTATAATCACTTCAATGAGATAAAGTAGTTACAGTGCCCACAGTGTCCCTTAAACAAGGATTTATCACACAGTAAATTGAAGCTGCTAGGTTAAAGGTGATTTGTCAAGTGGGTCTACCAAAGTCATGTTGTATGTTGAAACCAGTGGGAAAAAAAAATAGGAAAATGTATCTGTTTCTCAATCTCTCTATCAGCAAGTACAGATTTCAGCTTGTTTTTTATATATTTTTGTTTTGTTTTTGGATTTTAGCCCAGAATTTACCAAGGAGTTGATGATGGTGAAGAAACTGACCTCAATAAGATTTCGGATTATGAAAACAGTTTGTGGTAGATTCAAAATTATTCTTCATTTTATGTGTAAGCAGGGCACTAACCATCAAGAAAAAAGAATCAATGAATTTCATTGATCAGTGTAATTGATAAGTCACATAATGGTTCAACTATTATAAAGGTCTGTCGTGAAGAATGAAGTCTGCTTATGATAACATGTCACATGACAAAATCAACATAAATGGGCAAATTTATGTAGAACTGGAGCTTGCCTGCTGATCGGATCAGACGTGCTCTGTCTGAGCTCCCGCATCTGTGTCCGAAAACCAGGTTTAACTGCGAGCCACATGCTGATACCAACCCAAATCAATGACTAACCTACTAAGCTGCCGACAGTGTACACGGTGATACCTTACACAACTCCATACGGCATTGAAGTAACCCGATCGAGGCCTGAGGCCTACCTAAGCTTGAGCTGGTGTGAGACGGCCGCTCTCCTAGTTCTCCAATCTGTGCTTTGCTGTCCCCCCCCCCTGGGCCGGTGGGGTTATCCTGGTCCCCACAGATGACCAACTCTGACTACAGCTGCAACCAAGCACCTGCACTGTTGTAGATTACAGACTGGGAAGTTCACCTTAAGATGACTGACAATCAACAGCCTTGTGCACAGCATCCTGCCAAGACAATGCAGAGTGCAAGTGACCTCATATTGCAACACTTGGCTATGATGTTCGACAGCTTCAGGGTTAAGTTATCTGCCCACCTCGAGGTGCCAAAGGCTCCGGGTGCGGAGAGCAAGCAGAGGGAAGAGAGGCAGGAGAAGAGCGGGCCTCCCATGGGCGCTCCTTCTACAGCAGTTTTGCAGCTTCCCACGATGGGCCTACCCAGGCTTAAGACCAACAGGGATGTACTCCCAGTTCATCAACCACTGATGCGGAGGATCCAATGCCGCAGACGGTGATTGTCCATTGAGATTCAACGCTGTCCCATGGAAAGGGAAGAACTTTGCCTCCCTTATGAGCAACTAAGTTTGTGGCCCATGGTTACAGGCCTTCACAATGGCCTGAGGCTTTGGGGAGGACATACTTGGACTCTGCCTCTTGCTGTCATCCTACCCCTTACACCTGCCACCAAGCTGGGGCATAGGTTGAATCTGGACTTTACACCCCAAGCACTCAGATGGCTGGCGCACTAGCCCATACACTGGATTGCCCTACTGATTATAGCATGCCATCCTGCATCTACATTCTTACACCTGGCACTAACATACACTAGCTATGACAGACACATCCAAACACAAAGCACTCACCATCATACCCATCTTGTGGAGACAGTGCCCGACTCATGTAACATGCAACCATCCACTAAGGTGGAACTTGCTGTTTATGCGATCATAATACTCTCAAGTAAATCTAACCTGAAACACTCTGTTTTTTGTTTGTACATGCCATCGTAGTATACTCATGGAGACCTAGCCTGATATATGATGATTTTAGCATGTCTACTTTACAACAATCCATTCATGAATATCTAGCCCAAGGATAGGCAACCTTCGGCACTCCAGATGTTGTGGACTACATCCCCCATAATGATCTTATACCCATAATGCTGACAAAGCATCATGGGAAGTGTAGTCTAAAACATCTAGAGTGCCTTGCCTGTAACCGTTCGTACTCCAATTTACCGCTATAACGTCTTATAACTTAGAATTTAGCAGGGCTAACCATACAGATATCTTAGCTAAATATTGTATAGTCGGTATAGAGTTTCTCTATTTAAAATACATAAATAATTGAGAATACAATAAAAATAGGAGTTGGAAGCAATAACTTTTGTCTTATTAATATAGTTTATTGAATAAATGAATAAAGATCCATTAATATATCAAGCAGAGTATACAAGATTAAATGAATAAATGCTTGCAATATAATTAGTATAACATACCCTCCTGATTATACAGGTAATCTCTCAGTATGTCACCTCCAGAGTCGGTCAGTATGTCTCTATCTAGCATTGATCTAGCATGTATATATAGTATAGCATTTCTAATTACTACTGGTAATGTATGGGTTAATTCATCTTAGGGTTAAAAGCAGTTCATATATAAAAATAAAGGAAAAACACCCTTATCAGTCTAATGTCATAACCTAGACATCTTTAATCTGTATTTGGACTAGAAGTTAGGTTGACATACACCTTAGGGTTAAGAGAAGGTCATATAACAAAATAAGTCTAATGTCATAACCTAGACATCTTTAATCTTTATTTGGACTAGACGTTAGGATGACATAGACAAAGCCTTGAATTGTTATTGCATTAAATTAAGACAAGATGGAGTAAACATGTTGTGTACTGTAAATAGGTAAAAGGTTATTAGTTAAAGAAACAGTTGCAGTTTAAAGAAATACAATGTATCAATGTGTATTATACCCACAATTGCCCACTATGCCTGATCTCGCCTGATAAAATGTGTCTTCTTACTATTTTAAAAATGTTGCTGCCTTGCTTTGGAGTTTTCTCTGCTATATGTTGAAACATTTGTCTCATGTCTATTTTATTTAACTCCTGTCTTACTGTTCTGTAAAATGTGAATCGAATGCCACAATAAAAAAATGATTTACAAAGAAAAAAAAAGTGTTCTTGTGTTCTAGTGTAGTAATTTATTTTTAGTGTTCTAGTGTAGTAAACTTTTATTTTGCACATTTGCATTTTTCAGAAAACAAAAAACTAAATAGTGGTCATAATATGACCATAACATGTCATTGACGAGACTATGCATTCAGTTAATGCCACTGCTCCATCAAAAATTGCTTCTTCTTTGATCTTTGACCCTTACTTTCAGGGTTATTTACTAAGGTGAGAATTCAAAGTGAACTCCAAGTGAATTTCAAATTTAAGGCCAGAGTGGCCAACCTGAAAGCATTGCTCACTTTGAGAGTTTTTCCATTCCAGCTATTTTGACCTTCATTTCAATTCGCTTTGAATTTTCACCTTAGTGAATAACCCTTTGAATCTATTCTAAACACTCTTTTCCTCTCTCGGTATCTTTGACATACGTAGTTTGCATCTTTTCTTGCCCATCGCACTCTGTTGAGTCGTTTGCAGCCACCCTTGCACAGCCTCTGAATTTCCCATGTTCCTCCCATTTCATTAGAAATGTTTGAAATAGATTTTAGGTGACTAACATTTTTACGCAGTGCTTGTAACTTCTTCTATAACTTCCTCTTAAAAAACAAAATTCCATCACAAAGTCTCTTTTCTACGTTGCACAACTATCACTATTTGCTAATTTGCTGCTTTAACATTTTATACTTTAGATCTTATTTGTGGATTAGAAATAAAAATAATAAAAGATTATAATTAAACATTAATCTATGCCTCGTAAGTACTACCACTCAAATTGGTGTCTAGTACAATGCACCAAAATAATGTAAGAACAACAAGACCACTGCAAGATAGTAAGTGAAAGAAAAGAGAGAACCTCAGAGTAATCAATATGAAAACCTATTTCTCCTAGTTTTCAGGTCTGTATTTGGTTTGTCGTCCATGTTTTCACAGATAAATTGCCCAACCTACTACAACCTACAACCTGTAAGGCCCAACCTACAAAGATTGTTAAAACAGCACAAACCTTATTCCTAAAGCTTCACTGTATTTGACCCAAGTTAAATACAGTTTATTCAATCCCGGTTTGTGATAAAAATTAATAAAATAAAGGATTTACTTACCTTTTTCCAGCACCGAGACTCCGTTGGCAGTGCTTACCTCTCCTCCTCCTCCCTAATTATCATTGTGAAGACATAGCCTTCTCCACAATGGTCCGACCCATTCCTTCTCTATTAGAAATGTTGGCCAATTGATGCTCCTTTTCTATAAGGGTCTACTGCATTACATTAGTTTTACTCAATCAGTGTTGCACAAGTGTGGCAAAAGATGGTCAAAATGACATCCACCAGAGGTGGATTTAATTCTGTAATGCATACACTAGTTTCTAAAAAAAAACTGCAAAGTTTTACTTCGCAGGGTTTCAACTAAATGACCACTGTACACAGACCACTTCATTGAGATAAATTTGCCTGAATACATTCCAAGTTCCTTTAATTGGATTATAAAGCAGTGTTCTAGATCCTGGTATGCTAAAGCTCTGTAGTTTTCCTACACCAGAACATAATGGCTGATGTGTTCCTCCACAAACATGCACATTGATATACATGCAGTTACGACACACACTCATCCATGCATACACACACAGAGAGACACGCAAACTCACTTATTGATTATTCACCCTCTGCTTGCTGCTCGAGTCTTCCATTACCAGTTTCTAGAGAGGTTCCTCTCCCCCTACAGCATACTGCACATTAAAAAAGAAATGGATGCTGGAAAATGACCTCTCCCCAACATGTATTGCCAACCTGTGACCTGTAGATCCACCACAACAATGAAGACACCCAGTCTCCACTCCTTCAAAAATCATTAATAACTCACTTTTTACAAAAGCATATAATTTAAACTGTTAATGTATCCAAAAAAAATACACTGTCTTCATTAAATACTATTCTACCAATCTACTTCCCCAATACTACCCTTACCTTTTATGTCACTACCCCACTCACTCTAGCATGTAAGCTCATTAAGCAGGGCCCTCAACCCCTCTGTTACTGTGTCACTATACCGCACTCCCTCTAGCATGTAAGCTCATTGAGCAGGGCCCTCAACCCCTCTGTTCCTGTGTGTCCAACTTGTCTGCTTACAATTACTTTTTTCTTAGTCCACTCATTGTAAAGCACTACGGAATTTGTTGGCGCTCTATAAATATAATAATATTATTAGGACACTGTGTACCCAAACAGAGACATGTAAATGACCTTGGCTTGCACTGTAACCAGGATCCCAGACAATGGATTCACTGCTGTGGGATTGGAATTAGAGAATTCCTGATATACATGAAAGCAGCCCTAGAACTAACAGTGATGCTAAATATAAAACTGAAGGTACGTAGCAAAGACTGCAGACCACCGACGTCTCATTGTCTCTGTGCAGTTTAAGTAGTAAAGTGTTGATAAACCACATACTGAAAACCAAAACATTTTAGATATCATAATCCACACACATTTTGAAAAACACTTTAAACCACAGCGCATGCTATCCTAATTATCAAAGAAAAACACAAACTGTTAGCACTTCTGCCATTGCATCACTTCTCTAAAATGGACTTAAGACTAAAGATAAAGTTTCCTGTCTAACGCACTTCATGTGAAGCCAATGATCTGAACTAACCAGTAAGTAAATCTACTACGCTCAAAACTGATCCATGAACATTTTTTTTCTTATTTAATGCTAGAATATATTTGTTACAGTGTTAAGTCAATGGTTTCCGTGTTATAACACCTTATATAAATATATTTTATTTGATTCATTATACTCTTAAAGCTGTGGAATTAAACTGTAACCTGTAGTCCCATTCAGCTGCCTGAGAGTGATAGGACTTTACAAGGAAAAATCATATTTTTAAATGTATTTCACAGCTTTGTTACATTGTATCTATTTAACTAATTTGTTCGATATTTAGGGTCTATCTATCTATCTATCTATCTATCTATCTATCACAAAAATGTTGAGAATCTGTCACTCTTCCTTAAAATAGTATAAAGTAAATAGACTAAGGTGCTGCACAGCATAAGTATAAAGGATAGAAAAAATGAGAGCACTTGGTTCAAAAAGTAAATTGTGTTGTATTCAAAATTTCATCAACGTTTCGACCCGTAGGTCTTTATCAAGATATATGTAACAGTAAATGCAGTGTTTATATAGGAAATAAAGTGCAATTAAGTGATAACGTACCCTGTGCATGTGTTTTCACCTCAATCTGAGCATGGGCGCCGTGCAGTGTGGAGAGAGTGACCGCGCATGCCTGATGGACGTGAACGTAATGACGTAATGAGATAGCGTGGTGATCGCGTCGTGTTACTATGGTGACGCTAGAAAGACAATAAATATAATAAGTGCAATATGAATTCATGCATGAAAGTCAGTGCTTTAAAACCAAATTGGAGGATACTAATAATTGATGGAAATAATTATTCTAATCGATGTGCTGAGAGTGTAACGGTAAAGATATAGCAGACCAAAGTAGTGGAACCCAGATGTAATGAGGAGCAGTGTAAATATGGATAATGAAAAAAAAAGGGTTATGAAAGCAACAAAAGGAAGACATAAAAGTGAAATGAAAACGAGATCAGAAGGAAGAAAAGCATGAAAAGACAGAAAAAATAAAATTAATAAAAAGGGTGTCAGAAATGCGTTGTCCTGAGTAATAGAAAGCAGATGATGAAAAAGACTATATGGGTGGAAAGAGGATAAGAGAACCAGTGGGAAATAGCTGAACAGTATGAAGTGAATGTGAAGTGAGGTTTAAAAAAGTATGTATATATATCGTATATATATATATATATATATTAATATAATATATATTACACAATATTTATACACGTATACATTTGTATGATCTTATACAAAAAAAATCTCTTCTGCCTTTATAGAGATTTTGTCTTTTTGTAAATACTTCTGTATATTGATTGTGAATGTCTCTGACATCTGAAATTAATTATTTATTAGAAATGAAAAGGTTGTCTGAATGAAAATAGGGAGTGTTGAGTCTATATGATTACAATTACTATTCTATTATTTTTTATAAAGTTATAGTGGTTAATCGATTTCAAAGATTTTCTCTAAAAAAAAAAAGTTTATTTTTTTTCTCTCCTCAGATGCAAAATGAAGTAATCATGCCACAACGGGAAATGAACTGTTCTGAATGGGAGAGAAG